AGGCCCGCACGCGCTGGCAAGGCATCAGTCTGCTGCACTCGGTGCCCAGGAACGCATCCCTTTCACTTTCCGCTGCCCACACAAGGTATCTCTTTCTTCCTTTTCTTTCTCTCTCTCTCTCTTTCTTTCTTCCTTTCTCTCTCTCCCTCTCTTTCTCTTCTCTTACTTTATAATCTTAAATGTTTACAAACTGGCCTTTGCCGTTATGCTCTCTTCTTTTTGACACGATTTTATAAGATGCCTACGGATCTCCTTGCAGAAAATGGCCTCCAACGCCCTCGCCCCCGTCATGTTCCAGCTGCAGGAGAGTATTCGCAACTTCGACCTCAGGAACTTCATCAACAACGACCTCAGCAACTGGCTCGGCAAGATGGACTTCAAGACGGTGGGCCTCGTGGCTCTGGCGGCGTTGGTCGTCCTTCTGGTCCTGGACCTGTTCACCAAGGGCCCCACCCCCTTCGGCAGGAGCCTGGTGTCCTCCGCCGCCCACGCCTGGGACAGCACAGGCCAGACGGGGCTCAGCCAGTCCCTCCGCGGAAGGTCGGTTTGGAATAGGCAATTATACAAATCTAAAACAAATTAATGAAGCTGTAGTGATTGAATGTATTTCGTATCTTGCTATACCATCTTATGTAACGCAATTTTCTTTGCTTTACTTCACACTAATAATAATTATCGGATTCCTCTAAACAGCCGTTCTCTCGAGCCCGTGGCAACTGTCCTGGACGCGCTGGCGGAGGCGGTGAAGAAGTGGGAGGCGCAGGAGGAGGGCGTCGTCAGAAACCGAGCCTTATGAGACACCAGAGAGTTCCGCTGGATTCCGTTATTCGGGTCGTGTTTATACCTCTAATGTAAATATTACAATGTGTGGAAAGAATCTGCAATTTGTTTCCAAGCGTTTGTTTGCGGGCAAGCAAACTATCTTGTTTTTAGCCATCTTGGTCAAGTAGCCCTGGCCATTTCCATGATTTATTTATTTTCTTTTCATTACTTGTGTTATTGTTATTATTCTCACTGTTACTTCATTTACAATCGTATACACAATGTTCTGCAGGATATGTGCATTCACTGTGACTGAACAATACCTTAAATACAAAAGCCTAATAACAAAGTCAAATCTTTCCCTTGCATCCTTTAAATGATCTTAAGATTCATAATAAATACGACATTTTGGGTTTCATCCCATTTTCCCGACATTGGGCCATTCCGGAAAATCATATGACATTACGGGTCGAAAGAACTGTGTGAAGAATACATTCAAAAAGTCATTTTCACATTGAACAATTATTTCTGAATACTACAATGATATTCATATAATGGACAGAACATGTAATGCCCATTAGTCAGTGTCATTGTCTTATAAAAAAATCTAAGGTTAATTAAGTCAAGAAAATCAGAAATAAGTAGTCACGGATGTAGCCTGACTTACAATCTTACAGACACAAGATACATACCTTTCGGGGAACTCTTAAATGTTATTGGGTGTTTTTGAAACGCCACACACACAGAAAAAGAGGGAGAGGGTGGGGGAATGGAGAGAGAGAGAGGGGAGAATGAGAGAGAGAAGGGGGTTGAGAAAGAGTGAATGAGAAAAAAAGAGAAGTAGAGATAGAGAGAGAAGATAGAAGAGGGATGAAGAAAGAGAGAATGAAGTGAGTGAGAGACAGAGGGAGAGTGTGAAAAGATAGAGAGGGATGTAAAGAGTGATAGAGAAAGAGAGAGAGACGCGAGAAGAGATCTTTATCAGCTGTGACTATTGTTTTACGAGGAAGAAATGATGTGGAAAGAATAATCAATGAGGAAATTGGTCTTCATATTTGATAAATATACAGAAAAGAATGAATAGCGTTGAAACAAAGAATAGGAAAATTAAGAAAAAATAAAAAGGGGTAATAATAGGGTAAAAGTATAGACAAAAAAACATATAAGCAAGAGAGAGAGAAATGAGATGAGACAATGCATATAGACTCAAACCGTGCAGAGGAGTGCAGTAATACACATTATTCTACCATATGTGAAAAAAAAAAATGATGTTCAAAAATTCCTGCCCAGCATCCGCTCTGACTGTCCTTGAGAACCGCCGGAAACCTTTCCATGGGAGGTCATATATAAGCCAGTGCACTCAGGCTGAACTCAGTCATTCATTTACAGTCATAGGGTACGTTTCCCTTTGGAATTCCACTGCTCCTGGTGGTTAGTAATTCAGTGTTGCATTACCGGTACTCTCTCGAAAACATCTTATTCCATTTTATGTATCTATCAGTTATCTATGTTTCTCTGTTGATAAATCACATACCTCAATCTGTATCTATGCCTCTATCCATGAGAAAATATTCACTTACAGCAAGATGGCTGTCTACCTAGTCGCCCCCGTCGTCTACCAGCTGCAGGAGAGTCTTCGTCACGTCGACTTCAGAAGCGTCGCCAGCGCCTTCGACGTCAGAAGCTGGGTCGGCCAACTGGACTTTGAAAAAGTAGGACTGGCGACGCTGGTGATCGT